TCTTATGACTGAGCATCATTTAAATTATTGTTTTTGCTAATTTTATTTAAGAAATAGTACTGAACTATAAAAAGCAGGCGATCGAACCCGCAACCTTTAAATGTCGTCGCGTTGTGCCATAGAACTCCAACGCGCTATCCATAACGCTATTGGGACTTGCTTGGTTGTAATTTTTACTAAGTAAACTAATATTCATTCGTTAATTATTGGCTGTTGACTGGTACGCTAAGTTTATATATATTTGCGCTTTATAAAGTCGATATATCATAAAGTTATTACCGTACTCGTTTCTATTTTTTATTACGCCTACTGAAGATACAATTTACATGGTAAAAAAAAATGGCAACTGGTGGAATCGCACTTAAATTATTTCATCAAATTTTTGCTTAAATTAAAGCCAATAAATATAATCATTAATGAGTAATTAATTTGAATATTGCAATAAATATCTAAAAGTGCTTATCACTGAGTATTCTAAAGAAGAAGTGGGATTTAAACTTAACAACTAACGACATCGACTATACGTCGAGCGCGTTATTGCACGGAGACGGTTGATGCATAACGTCTCCGTATTTGTCTTTTGGCCATTTTAATCATAAACTAATCGTAGGGACCTTGCTTATTTGCGCTTTATGAAGTCGATATACAGTATCATATTATTACTCATTTATATATTTTAATATATTATAATTTTTTATAAAAGATAATTTATATTGTGAAAAAGATAATGTAAGTTCTTATGACTGAGCATCATTTAAATTATTGTTTTTGCTAATTTTGTTTAAGAAATAGTACTGAACTATAAAAAGCAGGCGATCGAACCCGCAACCTTTAAATGTCGTCGTGTTGTGCCATAGAACTCCAACGCGCTATCCATAACGCTATTGGGACTTGCTTGGTTGTAATTTTTACTAAGTAAACTAATATTCATTCGTTAATTATTGGCTGTTGACTGGTACGCTAAGTTTATATATATTTGCGCTTTATAAAGTCGATATATCATAAAGTTATTACCGTACTCGTTTCTATTTTTTATTACGCCTACTGAAGATACAATTTACATGGTAAAAAAAAATGGCAACTGGTAGAATCGCACTTAAATTATTTCATCAAATTTTTGCTTAAATTAAAGCCAATAAATATAATCATTAACGAGTAATTAATTTGAATATTGCAATAAATATCTAAAAGTGCTTATCACTGAGTATTCTAAAGAAGAAGTGGGATTTAAACTTAACAACTAACGACATCGACTATACGTCGAGTGCGTTATTGCACGGAGACGGTTGATGCATAACGTCTCCGTATTTGTCTTTTGGCCATTTTAATCATTGTTGTTGCTAATTTTTTATTAAGAAAAGAGGAAACAAAGCGTTTTAATATTTAAATGCATTTGGGATGCGAAGCGCTGTAAGGGAATTAATTTAATATTCTTCATTTAGCTATCATCGGCCTCTCTGTTTTGTAATTCATTTGAATTTTAGACAAATAAATAAACGGAACTTAGTTGCTCCTTCCCTATTCTGGGATAGCAAAAAAGGCAAAATAATCACCCTGAAATACAATTGTAAAAAAAATAAACAAGCATCTCTGGCGGGACTCGAAACCGCAGCCTTTGAATGTCATCGTGTGCAGCGATATAAAGCCATTGATTCGTTAAAATTTTCACTGTGATTAATTGCTATCTTTTGTTCATCTCTGCATTTAATAAATAAGTAAACTAATATTCATTCGTTAATTGTTTGAATGGTATAGGCTAAGCTAAGTAATCATAGAAACCTTGCTTATTTGCGCTGTATAGAGTCGATATATTAATTATTATTACTCATTTATATTTTTTTTATTATTTATTATTAGAAGATAACAATTTACATGGTGAAAAAGAAGGAATGGAATCGCGCTTAAATTATTTCATCAAATTTGTACTTAAATTATAATCAGTGATTAGAATCATTTGTGAATAATGAATTTGAAACCATTGGTATACATATTGTATGGTTATTCACCTGCACTGATTCACGATCCCGGTCTCAATATCGCAACAATGGTATCTACAAGTTCTTATGAGTATAAAGAAGCAATGGATTCGACCATACTTCTGGTGCGCGCTATTTTTCATATTATTTTGGCAGAGACGATTGATGTATAATGACGGTTTATTTCATTTTCTTCATTTTAATTATTTTTTTTGCTAATTGTGTTTAAGAGAATAATAAACAAGATAACAAAAAAAAAGGAGGCCATCTCCGGCGGGATTCGAACCCGCAACCTTTGAATGTCATCGTATTGTGCCATAGAAGTCCAACGCGCTATCCATTGCGCCACGGAGACTCGGCGTGAAAAACGATATTTGTAAATCAAATTTCATTTGATATGGTGGAACGATTGATCGTTTTGATTTGGTGAAATTCTGCTGAGTCAGGACCGCAGCAAACGGCGGTAGTTCAGATCAGTCTTAAATTATTCATTTTGAAATTACCGTATATAGAGAACTCTGATGTAGGCCTACCATAACCATGCATGCAACTGGCGACGTTTACCCTACATCAGTATTGTCTTCTAAGAATTTATCGAGCTTATTTTGATCTGATTTTGATTTTATTTATTCAATATCTCAACTGTACATACAGACAACAATATACAAAACGAAAAAAAAAAAATATGCGGTATATATTATCATTATTTATTTATTAATTTATCTACAGTTAGAAGCCCTCCTTTGGGACATCCTTATTATTAAGGGGACACAGGAAACACTTAAAGTATATCTTTAAACACTACAAACAACCCCTATTTAGGGGACACCCTTATTAAGGGGACACCGACCTCTCAGCGTCTCGTGAATCTTTTTGAGTTTTGATGAATAAATAAACGAAACTTGGCCACCTCGATCCTACACTGGGATAGCAGACAAGGGCAAAAGAATAACCCCAAAATAAATTTGGGAAAAGAAAGCATAGGGATTAAAAATTTCTTTTGAGGGGGCCCTGTCAATCTGGAGGGGCCAATTATTAGGGGACCCTTGCCATTATTGAGGGCCCATGATATAATTATCATTTTTGGGAAAAATATGCAACCTGCATTTTCTATTGGCCCCTGGTAAGCTTGAGCCCGGTGATCTTTCCCCCTGCCCCACCTCTATGTGGCCCTGATGGTAAGTCGTTGTAAGAGTCATAATTTTATCTTCCTCATCCCTTCAGTGGGATATAGCAGAAAAGAGCACAAGAATCAATCCGAAATAAATTTGTGAAAAATTTAGAAAAAATAACGAGCATCTCCGGCGGGATTCGAACCCGCAACCTTTGAATGTCATCGGGATATGCCATAGAAGTCCAACGCGCTATCCATTGCGCCACGGAGACTTGCTCGTTTATACAGCGATGTAAAGCCATTAATTCGTTAAAATGTTCACTGTGATTGATTGCTGTCGTTTGTTCATCATCTACATTTACTAAATAAGTATACTAATATTCATTCGTTATTTTTTTATACTGGTATAGGCCTAAGCTAAGTAATCATAGAGACCTTGCTTATTTGCGCTTTATATAGTCGACATATCAATTATTATTACTCATTTATATATATTTTTAATTATTAGACGATAACAATTTACATGGTGAAAAAAGGGAATGGAATCGTGCTTAAATTATTTCATCAAATTTGTACTTAAATTATAATCAGTGATTAGAATCATTTGTGAATAGTGAATTAAAAACCATTGGTACTGTATACATATTGTATGGTTATTCACCTGCACTGATTCACGATCCCGGTCTCAATATCGCAACAATAATATCTACAAGTTCTTATGACTGACTATTCTAAAGAAGCAATGAATTCGACCATACTTCTGGTGCGCGCTATTTTTCATATTAATTGGGCAGAGACGATTGATGTATAATGACTGTATTTCATTTTCTTCATTTAAATTATTGTTTTTGCTAATTGTGTTTAAGAAAATAATAAACAAGATTAAAAAAAAAAACAGCCATCTCCGGCGGGATTCGAACCCGCAACCTTTGAATGTCATCGTGTTGTGCCATAGAAGTCCAACGCGCTATCCATTGCGCCACGGAGACTCGCCGTGAAGAACAATACTGTATTTGTTAATCAAATTTGATTTGACATGGTGGAACGATTGATCATTTTGATTTGGTAAAATTCTGCTGAGTCAGGTAGCAGCAAACGGCGGATCAGTCTTAAATGATTCATTTTGAAATTATATAAGAACTCTGATTTAGGCCTACCATAACCATGCATGCAACTTGCGACGTTTACCCTACATCAGTATTGTCTTCTAAGAATTTATCGAGCTTAATTTGATCTGATTTTAATTTTGGTTTTTTCAATATCTCAACTGTGTAATTACTACTATCTCAAGGGGTCATGCCGCTACAGATCAAGCCTGCCATCTTTTGTTTTAATCACTGTGTCATTTTTACCTCATTTTCATATCAATGCATTGTGTCAGCTGTGATTTTTCTATAGCAAAACTGAGCTTATGAGTCTAAATAACAGCCTGGTTTTATCGTTTTCACATGGTTATGACGTGATTTGATTTGTGACAATATTTGGTATCGTATACACGATAAATCGTTATCGAATCGTGCTAGTGTGAAAACTTCTCTTTTTTCTATATGAACAATTGATTTTTAGCTTTAATTTTTATCTTTATCGTCATAGTGTAAACAGGCGTTTACTATCCTTTCAACAAAACTTTTGAATGGGCTAGCTTGTTTGCAAATTAAACACCTCGGGTAGTCTTTAGAAAACTAATTGAGAGGAAAACAAAAATTTAAAGCCAGGCTTCGGCGGGAAAAAAATATGTTAAATTCTGCAGGAACTGCACACTGAAAGTGTGTTTTACAAAAACTCAAGAATGGTTAACAAATACAGATTTTTTTAATAGGCCTATTTAAAAACGGGAAGGTCATGATGTGATGTCACCGTGGATTCCATGATGTCACTAATAATACTATTCCTTTTCAACTTTCTTGTAGAAATCAAAATAAATAACGTCGAATCGAATAGCAGCACCTGGACAACTCCAGTCGTTCACAAAGCCAACACGATTGAGATTAGCTTTACAGCACCCAGGGACACGACGTCTATGGTCATTAATGACGACGAAAATACTTCGCCCATACCTCCAGCACCCCCTACACCGCCTATTAAAGAATCGGCAAATCTCAACAGTGGAAACGGCAACGGGGTGATTGAAGACCCAAGCGTTATTCTTCGAAACTTGCAGGCGGGTATACCGGTGAACCCGAACGAATTTCAAGGTAAGAAGAGATAAGAGTTAATTTTATTGTACGATGTTATCACTCCTTGTAACTTAACTCCAAATACAGTGCCCTGCTGAACAAAACGCAGTATGAACAAATTTCTGTTTGGAAAATCCATACACTATTAAATTTTATGTTACAAATTCGTGGAAATTGCCCATATACGGGCATGATGATGTCATGTCACACCCATATTATGGGAAGATCACAGCTTTTTTTCGCATTCAGTTTTATAGAGTAGAGGTCTAAGGGGAAAGGACGTTGCTATTTATTTGTGTAAAGTTAATGCTTGCGATGGTGCAGGATGGCGTATGATATCAAGAAACCTTCCTTTATCGGTTCAATCTGGCGATTGAGGATTCTGTCACATTGTGTTGTATGGCAACTTTGTGTCTACACAGAGGAGCAGATATCTGCAACTGTAGAGTGTAGTAGGCTAGCCGTCCGAAGTGTATTTGCGTATGCAGGATGAGTACCCTATGAGATGCTGTAACCTAAACCAAAATTAGTTGCCCGAAAACATCTAGATATTTACTCGGATCTTGGTGTTGCATCTGCGTCAATTTGTTGGCACTAGAGAAAATATGGGTGAACCATGTGAATATTGTCCTGTCACACCTTGCTAATCCTTCAGAAGAAACCAAAAACTTATTTTGACAAAAATCTCCCATACTGCAGTTTGTTTGGAAGGCAGTGATCTACTTTAGTTTTGTTAATATTAACTGTAAGATTATACTTTTAATAAGATAACAAAACACCTTCTAGTTCATGTGCAATACTTGAACTAAAAAATAGAACAAGAAAAGGTGCAACAACGTACTATAGGCCTACTCGTTAACTGCGAAAGAGTAAATATCACTCAAATGTCAAAATTCACACTTATTCATTATAATAGTTATAATTCACTATAATAGTTATTCACTTGGGATAAAATATTTGTTTCATTCCATTTCATTCTTTACTCTTACGGAAGTTGTGCTGTTGGCACTCTTACTAGTTTTCACTCTTTTTGGAAAGCAAACATACAGAATTAGTCAAAAGTTAAAATGGTTTAGATAGTGGATATTTAGCCGGGTAGGACGGCTATTTGTTTACACAGCATTAGTACAACCCTAAACTTAAAGATAGACAGCCGGTAAAATTATATACGGTGCACTTTATTAACTAATAAAGGCAATAATTACAATGATGTTCTCTCCAATTCATCCACTTCAGCTCAAGTATCTATTGATGGTGACGTGCATCCCGAAGACGTTCGAAAAGCCTGTAAAACGATATCCGACCTTCTGCTATTCCCGACGAACAAGAACACGAAGGGGGCAAGAATGTTTGCCAAGCGACGGAAAAGAAGCGCCAAATGGACATTAGAAAGTGTCGGACAAGGTCCAGACGAAACAGTCACGACCACCGAGGAAGTATTCCACGAAGAATCGACCGTAGGCCCTGCCGGTGGTGTTTCAATGTTCCCCCCGGGATTTATTCCGCTACCACCAACTCTACCCCCGGTGCGTAAATTGTTAATTGAACCTATAGACTTTAATGTGAATTTAAAGAGTAAAGAAAAGTGTAAACACGACGTAATTCCGCCTGCTCAATGCAACATGCTCGTTCAGGATCTATTGTCGCAGTCTGGCCGTGGTGCTCAGATGTTTGAGAAAAGGCGAAAGCGATCTGAAAAATATGTGGTACCAGATAAGCCTAAGATGACGTCACCCCAGGTTGTATTGAAGAAACCAGAACGTGAGGAGCCGGTGAACGTATCTCTTGAATTCATTGCCATGCAAGGTGTAGGAACAGGTGCGATAGGCAAGCCGAAGATGACCCCATGGGAGGCAGCGTCAAAAGACCCCAAAGGTAGAGTTGACGCTGCCTTTGACCACCTCAATCCAATGAGTAAGCCACTTGAATTTACAAAGAAATTTGAAAAGCCTAAGCCCCCTGCCTCGTGGATGCAGTCATCCAACATCGTCCCCGATTTTAGACCCAAAAAGTCGATTTATTCTGTAGCAAGACCGACATTTAAGGCCGATGAGATTCCGTCAGAAAAACCAGCGACCCAAAATGGTGAACTACCACCCCGTTTCCATCCTAAATTTGATGCGAGAAATGCACATCCATCATCACAAACAGACAACACTGACAGTCCAGGCTTATCTAGGGTCAACTTCCACCCAAATCCCAGGTCCTGGACATCACCAGACAGTACCCCTGGAATTGTATCCCCTCCATCTTCCGAGTGTTCCCTAAGCAATGAATTCAAACCCAACGCAGGTCTTCCGACTGTTCCATTTAAAACGCCTAATTACAATTCTAAGCCGAGGGGCTTCCGGTCCCCGCCGACTCGAAGCGATTCACCAAGAGACCGCTCCAGTCCAGCTACCGGTATGATCATGGAAAGTGACGATTTATAAAGCATTTCTTACAATTGAAATCTTAAACGAACGTTATGTAAATACGTATGAGTAATAATAGTTGATGTAGATTGGTTTAAAAATGTGAAATAATAGGTATATATCTTTCGATATAGAATTTGTAAATCAAAGCTCCTCATGTCGAATAGTAATTTTCTAACAATAATTTAAGTACGGGTGTTGATGAAGATGAGTGTTATTTGTTGTTAACATTTTCAACAAAATATTTTGTTTGCTGTTGTTATTTTTGGTTTATTGTCATTTTTATTTCATCAGTGGATGCAAATGTTGATGAATTACCTTATTAAATGTTTTACAAGAATTATGGATATTATAAGCTGTAGGAATACACTAATATTATTATTATCATCATCAACATCATAAACATCATCATCAACATCATCATCAGCAGCAGCATCATTTATTATTTATTACTATGATTATTAAAGTTGTTATTGTTTCAGACCTGTAAGTTATAATTGTTATGAGTGTAGGTGGCTCCACACTTGAACTTACCTAGAGCTAATCGTGAACAATTCAACATCACCATTTATTAATTTTCTTTTGTTTCGTGCTATTTTAAGTATAAATCCTATCTTGGTGGTAAATAGCTACTTGGGTCTTATATGTATTAAGCAATTTAATTTCTTATTTCATTTTGTTTTCAAAATGTTCAATTATACTCTATGCAATCGTTTTATTTTCATTATGGAATCTTATAGTTCTTGTTACGTTACTTTTGCTTTGCCAAAATAAGAGGAATCTAAATATATAAATAAACCATTTAACATTTTTTCTGGCCATCTTATTGTGAAAATTAAGAAATATTCTACATTTAGCTGGTACAATTTAGGTCTTGGCTCATCTGCCGTATTAATAATTGAACCAGGTCTCTTGGAAACATAAGGCACTAAAGACTACTCCTATAATTGCATTGAACTGTCGTCACCAAAACGACGTGTAGGCCTAAAAATACAAGATATTATGCATCCTTTGAAACTAAAGTTGCGAGAACTATCGGGCATTGAGGTGCTGTTAAGTTCCAATATGCGATGGTCAGACTATAGGTGACTATTTTTATGTAGGTCTAGATAGGTACTGTACTTGTTAACATTACATTAATATTGTTCACGTAGGCCTAATTATATTTTGAGTATGGGTGACCTCATGTGTTCGTAGAATACTGTAAGGTACATTGTGTAACAGTTCAGCAAAATGGTAGGCCTACGTTTGGCACTGCCAATTATCGATGCACCCTTGCTTTAACTGGACCTTTCTGCTAAACTTGGATATAGGATGTTGTGTTGCTAAGGGTCCCAAAAAATGACAGTCTAATGCCGGGCACTCGTTGCGTCGTACGACGAATCCAACTCCTCCCTGTGATACGACGCCGTCAACTGATTGTCGGTTGTAGCTGGATGTAGTCTGAACGAATCGTCCTTAACAACGATCCGTTGCGCGCGCGTCGTTGAGCTGCGTTCGCCATAGAATCGCGTTGCCCGACGACGGTCGGGCGCAGAGTGAGTGCTTACTTTGTACGTACACAATTGTGCGCTTGTGGGGGCAACACGTGTTCTGATGTGGTCATTTAAGTTTATTTTTACACTATGGAGGGGCCCATACATAAGCGTGTTAATAATAGAACTATTTTGATTTTTGATTGTTTTACAAAATCGAGTGTGAATAAAACATTGACTAAAAACCAATGGCATGTGTTTGAAAAACAAAATACATTTTTGAAACAAATACATTAACATCTTAAATAGCTGGCCAGTTTTATAAACATAATTTTTTACTTTCCAAATGTCATGGAATAATTGTAGTCATTACCGGTATTAATACAAACGTAACGCAAGGTAAAATCCAATTAGTCGTTGACATATCGCGATTATAAGTGTAATAATGATATTAGTAATTTGTTACTGTATTTTGTATAGTTTCATCCGACGTCTTAGACAAGTCTTTCTATAAACTGCTGACGTAAATGTAATGGTGGATATATGACGTAGTACACATAATTATTGTTTAAGTATTTTGAAAGAACTGCAGTAAATAAAAGATATTTTTGAAGAAAGATGTTAGCAAATTTATTTTACCAGTAACAACATGAAATGATGAATATGGTACACACCAACTGTTGCGGCACATTTGAGTGTATCGAGAGTAAAGAATTATGTGGAATTCGGCAAGAGAAAATGAAAATTTCGTATTTAAAAGTTTGGTTTTCGTAAAATCGCTACCGCGTTTTCACTGTGTTGCTGGTCCCCAACGAGATCTGGGAGGTTCTCCGATTCGACCGACCAATCAGCGTCTCAGACAGCCCTGTTGGCAATAACTTTTAGCGATTATATGGGACAAATGAATGCTAGATGCGTCAGGTCACATTGTGTTACGCTACGTTCTTAAAAACTTTTATGTGCATTGCGGTATTGAATCGGAGTATTACGACGAATGTTGACACAAAAACATTTTTTATATAAGTATTGTGCGTAGATAGGTTGATTTGATTTCAGAGGCGCTTATGATTTTATTACATTTTCTAGAAAATCGATCATAGTAGTTGTGAATCTCGCTCAATCTGTATGTATGAAACAAAAGGAAAAGTAGTTCCGTACAGTAAAGTATAGGGTAATATTAATTTTAGAAACCTGGTTTTAAAACGTCATACAATATTCTTAAATTATTTAGATTGTTTCCTTGGTAAATATTTGTTTTCTGATTAGGCCCGAGTTTGCCTTGAACTGCAATAAATACATATTTTAACAAAAATTGTGTCTATGCTGAACTTGTTGCTCTTGAATAAAGTGGTGGCTCCAGAAAAATGCCGACAGGGGGGTAAATTAAAACGGACAGGAGGAGCCGAACCAAGTGACTGCTTAGAGCTTCAGTAGGGTCCCCCCGGGTATAATCACTTTTGAGGGTCATGAAGGAGAGAGATTTTGTGGATTAGGAGGCCCAAAATTGTGCATTCAGACGACAAGTCACAATTGTTTTTTGCTCGGCAAAATACTAATTCAGTCCGAGCACCTCGTCGTCGTGTCTCCAACCTTGTCACCCCCCTCCCACTTTCTTTTTGGAAAAAAAAAGAAAAAGAAAATATTGATCACCCAAAACGCATCGGAGGTTATTTTCGGGCGTCTAGAAAACAATAATTTTGCGGGGGCATGCCCCTAGACCTCCTAGGGTAGTGTTATCTCAACCTGCCCCACTTTCGGCCCCATTTTGTCCCCCCCACACCTTTCGGACATCTCTGGATCCGCCCCTGTATTAGATGTTTATAATGCGAGTACAGTATGTATGTTTATTAGGCCTACCTAAATCTACAATGCATACATACATCCACAGACATATCCTTACATTAAGAATATATATTATTGTACAGTATATTCAATGTTCACATGCTTATTATGTGGTCATCATTATTTGAAACACCTTAAAATATAATCCAATATTTTAATTGCTTTTTGTTTTTAAAAAATAGGCTAAATTATAAGCTTTAAATTGAGAATTAATGTCAATATTGTTATTATTAATATTCATATTATCGTAATATTAATATCTAAATTAATATAAATATCAATCTTTAATAATATCAATCAACGTCAATATATATTTCAATGTTTCGATGGCGTAATTACAATAATAATAAGCAATTTATAGTTTAATGAGTTGTGTATAATATGTCAATTACATTACAGTATGTACAACAGAAGAATGTAGCCAGTTACCTTGCTTGTCAATAAACAAAATGAAGTAGTGTACTGTATTTCCCAAATTGATTTCGATTATTGATTACATCTTTAATAATTTGAGAGGTCAATAATTAATTTCCGTTGTCAAGAGACAATATTGATCTCTGGTGGTAAAGAAACTATGAATAAGCACCAACTAGGCAAATAATAATAACATAAAGGAAAAAAGATAATACAATGGAGGACTATAACATGCATTTCCTCGTTGGATTTATTGCTGTACTATTTTTATTAAAAGTGCATACTGCAAACGCTGGTAAGTAATCAACTTATTTTGCTTTACTACATTATTATTAATATTTATTATTATTATTATTATTATTATTATTATTATTATTATTATTATTATTATTATCATTATTATTAATATTATTGTTATTTATTTTTAACGTTACATCATCATGCTCATCATTCATCGTCACTGTCATCATCATCGTCACCATCATCATTATCATCATCGTCATCGGCATTATCATTATTATTATTATTAATAATAATTATAATTATTATTAATTATTATTATTTATTATTACTATTATTGTTATTATAATTATTACTATTATTATTGTTGTTATTTATTTTTAATGGTTTACATCATCATGCTCATCACTGTCCCCGCTCATTTTTTCAAAAAAAAAATAAATTAGGAAACTAAAGAAAATGATACTCAAATTGTATGAGATTGCAATTTCCGGCCATTTGGAGATGCCGTAATCACAAATTTTCTTTCCTCAGCCCCAACCATGATGGGGCTGAGATGGTATTTCCGCCATCTGTGAAAATCCCTCCCTGGTCCCTCTTCAAATTCCTAGATCCGCCACTGAAAACCTTACATGCATCATCAGAAATCGATTAAATAAGACCTCAAATTATCATTTTTAAAAAATTAGTTTTAATGAAACATAATTTTTTCGACATGTTATTTTTAAAATTAATGTTTGAATAAGCCTACTTCAATTCCTGTTGTAAATGGTACGCTACATATTTACTAGTATAGTGTGATTTAACTATTTAACAAAACAAAATATCAATAGGTGTAACAAAATTTTGTTTAAAAAAAATGAGTGAATGGATGGATGGAGGCTGGATAGAATGACATAAAAATTGAATAATGAAAACAATGAATAATAGTACAGTAGTTGGGATGCATGGATTGAAGTGGTATTATAAGCGTACATTTTCACACAGTTTGACTTTCCCTTTTCGCAGCATATCTGTCGTATAAGAAGGTAACAACTTCCAAGTCATTGTACGCTGGATCCAGATACCCGAGAAAGGCAACTACAGATGGAGATGATTATTCAAGGATGGATTTTCAAAGCTCATCTTGTTTTCACTCAAGTAAGCATACCTGCACCCGATATACAGGGGCGGATTTAGGGGGGGGGGCCCCGCCCCCCCCCCCTTTTGGGAGGTAAAAAAAAAGAAAAAAAAAGAGAGAAAAAGAAAAAAATGATAGCCCAGAATGCCTCAAATGTTATGTTC